GGGTTGACCGGGGGGGTTTGGTGGGTGTGGGGGGAACCGGCTGCCAGAAGCAGAGCTGGACGGGGGCAGCAGGGCTGGACTGGGGAGATTGGGAAGAGAAGGGAGGGAGCGGGACTGACCTGGGCACATGCAGACCATGGAAGACGAGTGAGTCTGGCCAGGATTCCATTTTGCCCCCCCCAACATACCCTCCCTCGAGTAGTTGTGAACTGGGGGTTTGGTGGGTGTGGGGGGAACCGGCTGCCAGAAGCAGAGCTGGACGGGGGCAGCAGGGCTGGACTGGGGAGATTGGGAAGAGAAGGGAGGGAGCGGGACTGACCTGGGCACATGCAGACCATGGAAGACGAGTGAGTCTGGCCAGGATTCCATTTTGCCCCCCCCAACATACCCTCCCTCGAGTAGTTGTGAACTGCCTGGCAGGTAGACACACTCAGGCAGAGTGAGCACATCTACCAGCCAGACAGTTCGCCACTACGGACTGATACACGTAATTATAATAAAATTTATCTAATTAGAAAATAACCAGACATTTTATGTCTGGTAATTTCTCAATTTCTTTCCTGGACAAAACTTTCAAATACCGGACTGTCCTGTACAAAACCGGACACCTGGTAATCCTACGCTTCACTGCACTCCTACCCTCCTAGCCACATACCCTACCCCCAATCTGCTCCTGCTCCCGCATCCTGAAGTGCTCATGCAGCACCGGGTCCCCCAAGCCCTGGCCCACGCTGGGTGGAGGATACAGCCGGGTGAAACACTGAAAATGTATTCATTTTTCATGCTTTTTTAAAATATGCGTTTATATTTTTGGACTGCAAAAGACAGTACTGAAAAAAAAACGGGTTCCAACTAAATTAAAAAGTTTGGGAAACCCTGATCTAGCCAGCTTTCTTATCCATCTTACAGCCCATTTGTCCAATCCATATTCCCTTAACTTGCTGGCAAGAATACTGTGGGTGACTGTATCAAAAGCTTTGTTAATGCTGGCACTGGGGGCTTTGGGACGACCAGAAACAACTTATTTGAATATTCATCATTTGCTTAATGAATATGCAAATGAGTGTTACCGGTCCTCCAAAAGTTCGTGAATGGATTTACTGGCCCCCTTGTCAAAAAGTTTGGGAACCCTTGGTCTAGAACAGAAACATGCTAGAGGTGGTAACCACAGAGCAGCTGCTAGTTAATAGTTTGTTATATTTAGAGTTGCGTCAATCAAAGATTTCTCTAGTAGGATCCATAGGATCCTACCTGTTTCTGATCAAGCAGAACACTTAAACATATTTGTCTAGACTGGCAAGTTTTTCTGCAAAATCATCTGCTTTTGTGGAAAAACTTGCCAGCTGTCTACACTGGCCGCTTGAATTTCCGGAAAAGCACTGATGATCTCATGTAAGATCGTCAGTGCTTTTCCGGAAATACTATGCTGCTTCCGTTCGGGCAAAAGTCTTTTTCCAAAAGACTTTTGCGCAAAAGGGCCAGTGTAGACAGCACAGTGCGAAAATGGCAATCGGGGCTTTTTTGCGGAAAACCGCATCTAGATTGGCCACGGACGCTTTTCCGCAAAAAGTACATTTGCGGAAAAGCATCCTGCCAATCTAGAGGTGCTTTTCTGAAAATGCTTTTAACGGAAAACGTTTCTGTTAAAAGCATTTTCGGAAAATCATGCCAGTTTAGACGTAGCCATGGTCTTTTCAGTGCTTTGCTGAATCAGGGCTGACACCAGGTATCATTGTTATTGCTCATGTTAGTGTAGCTGAAGAAATAAGCTTGTTTATTTCCCATTGGTATCCTATGAAAACTAAGGTTTTTTTTAACTAAAAGGGAAACGTACATGCTTTCTTTAAACACTTGTATTTTTCAAATATACTGTGTTATTTTTTATTAATGTTTACTTTGGATTTCTTGGGGTTGTTAACATTTTTCCATTTCATTTTTTAGTATATTTTTTTAAAATGGGAATTCTGTCAAGTTGGGGTTTTTCCTTCATTCCTATAAATTATCATAATTGGCTGTATTTTTTTTTTAAAAAAAGGGCTATAGTCATTTTGGTTTCCAACAATATTTTCTTTTAGTTTTCAAACTTTTAAGCATTCTTCTAGCTGTGCCAAAATGGAGCACTACCCCACATTTCTCCATTTTATCTATTTTCTGTAAGGTTTATTGAGAAGCAATTCTATTGCAGGTTCATCCTATTTTTTGGGCTCATCTTGGTTCAGTCTCTTTCAACATTCGCTCAGTTATGTCAATTTTGTACACTGTACTTGATTTGATGACTCTATCTTTTCTGTTTGAGAAATAATCCCATTCCAGGCACAACCAAACCCCTCATGTTGCTTTAAGATTTAAGTGATAAGAGGAAGCTAAATACCAAATTTGGTGGACCTAGGTCTTACCATTTAGGAGGAGCTCTTGATCAAACAAACTCTCTAAAATACATAGTTGATACTAAAAGATGTACCTGGCATTGCTCAGGTCCTTCAGGGCAGGGAACTGAGAGTGTGGGGGGTGCAGGAGTTAAGGCAGGGGCTTGGCAATGTAGTGGTCTCAGGACAGGAGGGTGGGGGTGTGAGGAATCCAGGAATCAGGGTTTGGGGGGGGGAGAGAAGGGGCTCAGGGAAGGGGGATGGGGAGTGCAGGAGTCAGAGCAGTAGGTGGGGGAAGGTTCGGGAGGGATGACCAGTGGCTTCACCCTTGCATTGTAGTGGAGATGGTGGGAGGGGTGGTCCACACAGTCCGCCTGCTGCCTTCTCCCCAGGGCCTGTGCAGGCCACCTTCTGGCTTCTCCCCCAAGAAGAATTGGACTGACCCCAAAGGTTTGCTCATATTTTGCTATCAGGACTTTACCAAAAATTTTAAAGATCAGCTAAATTTCTTAATATAACTAAGCCTCGATCGGTTCTTTTACATACTTCCAGATGGAAATCAGGACTTTGTGGCCCTTATCTACAGTAACAAAATATGGTTCCTCTCTTTGCTAGACACTACCCATTCAATTTGGCTCTTTCCAGAGGTGGGCATAGTTCCACTGAATTCAGTGGAGTTCTACTGACTTTCATGGCTGAATTTAGTCTAGAACTGGAAATGTTTCCACTACAGTACAGAAGCCTGTGCCATGTGAAAGAATGGTGAAAAATACAACACAATGTTATTTGTATTGGATAAACATTCCAGTCCATTCAAATATTGTGACAGTTGATCTGGTGTTGGTTAAACAATACAAGTGAGAGAAACATACCCTGTAAGTGTAATGAATACAATCTGGCAGCTTCCATCATTATTCTGCCAAGTTAAATCACCATTTTTTCAGCAAGAGCAGCAACAACAAAAAGCAAGTGGAAATAAGAAAATGGGCTATTGCTATATTAAATATTTGTTCTGAGGCTGAAACAGCGTAGTTTCAGTGTAGTGTTAATTCATCTGCTTTAGGACTGTGCGACAAGTCCTGCTAGATTAGCACTAGGGATGTTTAAAAAGCATGGTGGTTTTTCTTAAAATGTGTAACCTCTGACATTTTCAGTGCTTACACATTTACACATGGGGGGAGGAGACTCATGGGAAGCCAGCTCTCGCCTGCTCCCCCGCACAGCTCCTCTCTGTTCCAACCCCCCACCCCACACACACCCCGGGCTGCAGCGTGGCAGGACATTGTGTGTAACTGTGAAAGTTAACTGATGAGGCCAGGCTCATAGATTAACCATTTCAATGTGTACATTATCACATCCCTAACGAACACTACTATTTCCACAAAGCAGTTTTACAATATGCTTTGCCTCACTGGCAGTTTTGTTATTTTGTGGGCTTTAAGCCCAGAAAGAAACATTGTGATCATCTAGTCAGGGGTTGTCATGATCATGAGAGATGGCCGGCAGCCTGGAGACTAGAGGGTTAACTACACCTAGCCAGGTGGAGTGGCCAATGGGAATGTAAGTAGGAATTTCAAACTGGGACAAAGGAATTTTTGGTTTTTCCCTTCTTTCTGGGAGAGTTCCCTCCAGCTACTGAGGGAGACAGACATGTCTCTCTCTCCAAGAAACAATTTTTCACTTTCTGTAAGTAGGGTAAAGTTTAGATAAATCTGTTAGGTTTTATTGTTTTATGGTTTAGGAAGTGGGATCTGATGTTTTGGCTTTCTTTTGTAGTTAAGTTCTAGGCCCATGGAGTTTCTCCATGAGTATATTATTTTGTTACTTTTCCATCTAGTCATTATGCTTGCAACAGGAATATTGTGGTGATAATACAAAGTTCTTTCTCTTTTATTTTATTAACCTGGTATTGATTCATTTTTGTGTCCTGGTTTGTACTTTAGGGGTGAGATTTCCCAAGTAGTCTCCCCCTGATTTCTTTAGCATATTTGGGTGGTGGCAGTGGAGATTTTATCCCCAAAATCTAGGCTGTTACAATTTTGGGGGGAAGTTTTATACCACAGCCTGATAGATAAGATTTTGGGGTACTTTTGCTGGCCCCCACTTCTGCATTTATCATGCCAGAGTGGGGAAGGAGCCATGACAAGGGTTCTTAAACTTAATTGCATCATGACCCTCTTCTGACAATAAAAATTACCTCACAACTTCAGGAGCCACCTGTCTATGTTTCTTGTCAGACTGCATCTCATAGTAGGTCCCAACCATGCACGAAGAACTGTGCAGGCACAGGTTTTTGATTCAAGACTGACATCACAGCATGTAAGCTCTTCAGGGCAGAAGCGGGCCCTTGTTTTTATACATGTACTGTCAAGTGCCCGTAACTGTTTTAGGTCCATAAAACAGGTACTATAAATAGTAACGTGTGAATCTTGGAAATACAGATTATGGATGATCCAAGGCAAGAAGTATATGAATACCTGATCATCCTTTAAAACCATTCATTCTAGGCCCGTGGATATGAAAGACCTAGATGGCTGTGTTACTTAGGTCATAGTTATAAAAATACATTAACACTGTCTTTGGTTTCCCTTACCTGTAAGTGAATCACTGAGGTAAATCTTATATCTCAGGGAGTTACACAGTTGCACACCTACAAACTTCTTGTACCAGGTCCTTTTGACGTACTGTTTCCCTTTGCATTCTGAATAGGCATTGGAATTGAAAGGGATTTCAGTCCAGATGGCATCTTTTCCCACTGCAGAAGAAGAAAGGTAGGAATTAATGATACCGCCATAAAACTGGACATGACAAACATACTCAAAGAGGTTCAGAGACTCAAATACAATAGGATGCCACTTGGAACATCACCTGCATTTTGAAGGACATTTTTATGAGAATAAGCAGTAAAACTTGCATATATACAGGTACTGTGTCAGACCCTGGCCAACTGCACAGCTCTCCCTTCTCAGGGTCTCTTGGAGAGAACTCCCACAGAGGTCAGGCCTCCACCTCTCCTGGTTTGGATTTACACACGTGCCCCCTCAGCCAGCATTTGGGTTACAACCTTCTAGGTACCAACCATGAATAATTCAGCAAGTCCAATTGGTTGGCCCCTGCCAGGGTTTCTCTTTGGGAGACCCTGACAGTGTACTTTTTACAGTGATAAACAGCTTCTGCAAACAAAACATTTATTTTGCCCAGAAGGTACACAGTGCTTAGAAAATAAGGTTATAAAGTAACCAAGACCTACAAGCATATTTCCTTACCTAAGCTTAACCTTTCCACCCACCACTCAGGTAGCTTTGAGTTATTCACCAGCTCTGAAAGGGAGGAACAGCCTATCCTGCTTTTAGTCCTTCCCCTCTCTCTGAATGTCTCAAACTGCCAGCCTTTTTGTAGACACTTCCTAGCCAGTCTCTCTCATTCCACCTAATACCTCCACCCTTTTTCTAGAATATTTAAGGGGTTAGGCCTCCTTTGACTGCAAACTTCACTTTGGGAAGAGAACAGCATTCTGCTCCGGATGGAGCCAGCTAAATAACTTCTCCCCACAAGAAGTTAAATCTGGAATAACTCCTTTGAAGGAAACAGTTATGCCATATTTAGGCTGCTCTAACTCAGCTAAAATCTGAGTTAGAACAGCCTAAATGTGCAGTGTGCATTGCTGTGTCAGGGAGCCAAATACTGTCTACTGCGATACAGTTACAACTTATAAAAGGGGGTACATACAGTAGTGGGGGAGGGGGGGATTTGTGATTGCACTGCTCTTCTAAACAGAGACACTGGAAACTTGTAGAATACTACACAATAAACAAGATGAGATGGCCTACCCTGTGGAATGGAAGAGAGTTCGCAGTACTAAATGCATTAACAATCCCTTCAGCTGAAATGGGTGTTGTCTTCTCTTCTAGAGCCTGACCCAACTCCCACTTCAAGTCAACAGGAGTCTTACCTCCAGCTTTAGGAGGAACTCTGTCAAAGCTTTTCAAAGCTATTTTTCATGGCACACATTTCAGCACAATGATAGATAAATAGCAGACTTTGACTTACATTCTGTTAAGTCACTTACTAAGTGAGAAATAGTTTATTCTTTTTACAGAACTTTATATTGATTTAATAGCAGGGCTGAGAAAATACGAGCTGTCCATAGCTCACTTGTGGACATTGGTTTCAAGCCATCCAAGCTGCCACAGGAATACCACATCACGTTGATTGTGCTGTGCTCAGGTAAACATTTAGACTGGCAGAAATTCCTTACAAGTGATATAGCTGGAAGAAGTGAAATCATGTGTGAAAGCTGTTCTGTTCCATGATATGTGTAACTTGGACAGCACAACCCTCTTGTCATAAAGTAGTACGTTATCTTATTTCAGAAAAATGTTCTGATTAGAGCACGCTATACATGAAGGGCTTACTTGAAATTGGCTCACTCACTCTTGGGTCCGCTGAGGAGAAAAACAAACATGTAATCAGACATTGTAAAAAAATCCTCTCCAGATATTTCAACAGAAGCACACTAGAAAGTGATTTTCTTTAGTTGACAAACTATAAACTGTAAAATAGCAACAATGCTTGGAAGTTGAGTTCACTACATTTTTGTGTACATTAAAGAAATAAACTGCTTATGTAACTATTTGGAATTGCTGCATCGCTGAACTTTTTAAAAAGGTTATGAATGGTTCATTTACCAGTAAAATTGGGCTTTGTAAAACAAAACAAAATTACAAAACTTATCAAGAAAAATATTTCCATGGAGTTTTTTTAAAAATTTTAGTGCCAACAATTTAACTTTTAAAAAAGGATTCCTTTGTAGTGCTTGCTGCCCAATGTCTCAGCCTTAGGTTAGTGCATGAGAATGACAAATAGAGAATGTGTGGAAACTGATTAGGAAAATATGAAACTGACCAGTTAATTTCCATTGACTGATTGCGTGAAGGGGAAATAATAAACATAAGAAATCATGAAATTGCATTGAAATATAACAGTTCTTTCAAATGTAATAATCTAAGATACATTAGTAACATAAGAGGGTATAAACTTTTCTTAAAATATGTGGGACATATATCAAATTCCTTATTTAGTTTCCACTTATCTTTTACTCCTAATAGTCAAAATTCCTATTAATTTCAGTGAGCAAACACTGAAGGATTTGACTTAAAATGTTAAACCTGATAGTGTCCCTTTAAAGAGGCATGGTACACAATAAGTGCCTGGTAGTTCAGCGTCCTATCCACAATAGGCAGCCAACTTTGAAAATAAAAGTATCTTCTGTTGCAGTTAGTGGCTATTTTGTAACTGGCTTCAAATGAAGCTGGATCTGGTCTTTTTGTTCCCCATAGCCAAGTCAGGTGGGGCTTTTGCTTAATGTATTATTTGAAACACACGACAGAGCTGCAAGTAACACTCTAGTTTGCAGATGCATTGGCTAGCTAGATACATTTCTGAGGGTGCTATACCAACTGGTCTTCTTCGAGATGTGTTGCTCATGTCCATAAGTGTGTGTGTGCCTGCCACATGCACTGGTGTCGGACGTTTTTCCCAGCAGTTCCCTCAGCTGGGTTCCCCAGCACCCCCTGGAGTGACACACACACATCATGCTACATAGGGGGCCTCCCTACCTCAGAGGTTCCTTCTTGCCAGAACTCTGACAGAGGGGAGAGAGGGTGGGAAGTTGAATGGACGTGAGCAACACATCTCGAAAAAAGACCAGTTATTGAACAGGTAACTGTCTTTTCTTCGAGTGCTTGCTCATGTCCATTCAACATAGGTGACTGGAAGCAGTGTCTGTGGAGGTGGGTAGGAGTTATGAGAATGCAGACTGCAGTACACCCCTGCCAAATGCAGCATCCTCCTTGGTCTGCTGCGTGATGGCATAATGAGACAACAGTGTGTGCACTGACGACCATGTTGCTGCCCAACAAATGTCCTGGATTGGGCCATGCGCAAGGTAAGCATGTGAGGAAGCCTGAGCTCTGGAGGAGTGGACCCTAATCAACTCCAGTGGCTGGGCCCCTGCCAAGTTGTAGCACATGCGGATGGGGAAAGTGATCCGTTTGAACAGTTGCTGGGAGGAGATGGGGGAACTCCTCCCGCGTTCCGCAAAGGCCAAAAACAGCTGCATAGCGCTGCAAAAGACACATGTACTCTCCAGGTAAAAAAAGCCAGCACCCTGCGCACATCCAGAGCACGGTACACATAAAGCTTGGGAGAAGACTATCAGAAAAATGTCCTGGTCCACGTGGAAGGTGGACACCACCTTGGGGAGAACAGCCAGATGAGGCCACTGCTGGACCTTATCCTTGAAGAACCGGGTATATGGCAGTTCTGACATCAGGGCTAGGGACTCTGTCTAGCCAAAGTGATGGCAATCAGGAAGGCTACTTTGAAGGAGAGCAGTGACCGTGGGCATGTGGCTAGGGGCTCAAACAGGGCCTGGTCTTGGGAGAGCTAGTCTGGCCTCAGCAGCAGCCATCTGGGCAGCAGAACATCAAGGTCATCAGTGCCCTGAACCAGTGCTGGTGAGGATCACTGTTGCCTTGTCCCTCTCGGCCTTCTGGAGGACCTTGCCAATGAGGGAAACGGAGGGAAGGAGTAGAGGAGACCT